CACCTACCCTGCCATCCAACCCACCCCACCCTGTCACCCAACCCACCCACCTGGCCACCCAGCCCACCCACCTGGCCACCCAGCCCACCCACCTGGCCACCCAGCCCACCCACCTGGCCACCCAGCCCACCCACCTAGCCACCCAACCCACCCTGCCACCCACCTAGCCACCCAACCCACCCTGCCACCCACCTAGCCACCCAGCCCACCCACCCTGCCACCCAGCCCACCCACCCCACCCACCTAGCCACCCAGCCCACCCACCTAGCCACCCAGTCCACTCACCCAGTCCCACCCACCCCACCCACCTAGCCACCCAGCCCACCCACCCTGCCACCCCACCCACCCAGCCCAGCCACCCAACCCTCCCACCCAGCAACCCAGCCCACCCTGCCACCCACCCACCAAGCCACCCAACCCACCCACCCTGCCACCCAACCCACCCACCTAGCCACCCAACCCACCTGCCCACCCAACTCATCCAATCCAGCCCACCCACCAAACCCACCCCACCCACCAAACCCACCCCACTCACCCAACCCACCCACCCGACCCAATCCTTCCTCCCTTCCACCCAACCCACCCACCTGACCCAACCCTCCCACCCTGCCACCCAGCCCACCCACCCACTCACCCAACCCACCCACTTACCCAACCCACCCACCTAGCCCACCACCTAGCCACCAAGCCCACCCACCCAGCCCACTCACCCCAACCCACCCAAACCACCCAACCCACCCACCCTGCCACCCAACCCACCCACCCGGCCACTCAGCCCACCCACCCGGCCACCCAACCCACCCACCCACCCTGCCACCCAACCCTCCCACCCAGCCACCCAACCCACCCACGTAGCCACCCAACCCACCTGCCCACCAACTCATCCAACCCACTCCACCCACCAACCCACCAAACCCACCCAACCCCAACCCACCCACCCTGCCACCCAGCCAGCCCACCCACCCTGCCACCCAACCCACCCGCCCTGCCACCCAACCCACCCGGCCACCCAACCCACTCACCCTGCCACCCAACTCTCCCACCCTGCCACCCAACCCACCCCCACCCAGCCACCCACCACCCACCCAGCCACCCAACCCACCCACCCAGCCACCCAACCCACCCAGCCACTCACCCAACCTACCCACCCTGCCACCCAACCCACCCACCTAGCCACCCAACCCACCTACCCTGCCATCCAACCCACCCCACCCTGTCACCCAACCCACCCACCTGGCCACCCAGCCCACCCACCTGGCCCCCACCCACCTGGCCACCCACCCACCCCTGGCCACCCAGCCCACCCCACCTAGCCACCCAACCCACCCTGCCACCCACCTAGCCACCCAGTCACCCACCCTGCCACCCAGCCCACCCACCCTGCCACCCAGCCCACCCACCCCACCCACCTAGCCACCCAGCCCACCCACCTAGCCACCCAGTCCACTCACCCAGCCCACCCACCCCACCCACCTAGCCACCCAGCCCACCCACCCTGCCACCCCACCCAGCCCAGCACCCAGCCCAGCCACCCAACCCTCCCACCCAGCAACCCAGCCCACCCTGCCACCCACCCACCAAGCCACCCAACCCACCCACCCTGCCACCCAACCCACCCACCTAGCCACCCAACCCACCTGCCCACCCAACTCATCCAATCCAGCCCACCCACCAAACCCACCCCACCCACCAAACCCACCCCACTCACCCAACCCACCCACCCGACCCAATCCTCCCTCCCTTCCACCCAACCCACCCACCTGACCCAACCCTCCCACCCTGCCACCCAGCCCACCCACCCACTCACCCAACCCACCCACTTACCCAACCCACCCACCTAGCCCACCCACCTAGCCACCAAGCCCACCCACCCAGCCCACTCACCCAACCCACCCAAACCACCCAACCCACCCACCCTGCCACCCAACCCACCCACCCCGGCCACCCAGCCCACCCACCCGGCCACCCAACCCACCCACCCACCCTGCCACCCAACCCTCCCACCCAGCCACCCAACCCACCCACGTAGCCACCCAACCCACCTGCCCACCAACTCATCCACCCACCCCACCCACCAAACCCACCAAACCCACCCCACCCACCAAACCCACCCACCCTGCCACCCAGCCAGCCCACCCACCCTGCCACCCAACCCACCCGCCCTGCCACCCAACCCACCCGGCCACCCAACCCACTCACCCTGCCACCCAACTCTCCCACCCTGCCACCCAACCCACCCACCCAGCCACCCAACCCACCCACCCAGCCACCCAATCCACCCACCCAGCCACCCAACCCAGCCACTCACCCAACCTACCCACCCTGCCACCCAACCCACCCACCTAGCCACCCAACCCACCTACCCTGCCATCCAACCCACCCCACCCTGTCACCCAACCCACCCATCTGGCCACCCAGCCCACCCACCTGGCCACCCATCCCACCCACCTGGCCACCCAGCCCACCCACCTGGCCACCCAGCCCACCCACCTAGCCACCCAACCCACCCTGCCACCCACCTAGCCACCCAGGCCACCCACCCTGCCACCCAGCCCACCCACTCTGCCACCCAGCCCACCCACGTAGCCACCCAACCCACCTGCCCACCAACTCATCCAACCCACCCCACCACCAAACCCACCAAACCCACCCCACCCACCAAACCCACCCACCCTGCCACCCAGCCAGCCCACCCACCCTGCCACCCAACCCACCCGCCCTGCCACCCAACCCACCCGGCCACCCAACCCACTCACCCTGCCACCCAACTCTCCCACCCTGCCACCCAACCCACCCACCCAGCCACCCAACCCACCCACCCAGCCACCCAACCCACCCACCCAGCCACCCAACCCACCCAGCCACTCACCCAACCTACCCACCCTGCCACCCAACCCACCCACCTAGCCACCCAACCCACCTACCCTGCCATCCAACCCACCCCACCCTGTCACCCAACCCACCCACCTGGCCACCCAGCCCACCCACCTGGCCACCCAGCCCACCCACCTGGCCAACCAGCCCACCCACCTGGCCACCCAGCCCACCCACCTAGCCACCCAACCCACCCTGCCACCCACCTAGCCACCCAGGCACCCACCCTGCCACCCAGCCCACCCACTCTGCCACCCAGCCCACCCACCCAACCCACCCTGCCACCCAACCCACCCACCCACCCACCCTGCCACCCACCCACCCACCCACCCTGCCACCCAACCCAACCCACCCACCCTGCCACCCAACCCACCCTGCCACCCAACCCACCCACCCACCCTGCCACCCAACCCACCCACCCAGCCACCCCACAATGTTGGACATTGATTTGGCAAACCAATCCACCAACTCAGCCCATCCACACGTTTCGACGAAACCCATCGATCTCATGAACCCACTAACCTGTCCACCCGCCTATTACTTCGATCAACGAACTCGCCCCCCAATCCACTCATCCACCACCAACCCCGCGGCCCCTCCCCTCCATCACCCACCCCTCCCTCCCTCTCCCATCGTCACTCGCAGCGGCTCCTCCTACAGCGCCTCGCTGCTGACGACGATGAATATTTTGCATCAGAAAGGGTCGGGGTAGGGGGGCGAGTGGTCGCTCTCGGTAGCTTCCAGCATCAGAAGGAAGTCCACAGTCGCGTAGCCTATATATATACTATCGCCTACCTATATATAGAGGAGGCGGGGTGGCTTTATTGGGAATTAATTGTATACGTATCAATCATTTTGTGGGGTGGGGGGGGTGGAGGGATTTTTCACAACAGCTGTCAAGAAATGGTCAGTTGAAAGAGCAAATGTGTGTGTGGTGTGTGTGTGTGTGCTGCCATGTACTGTAATCGCGAGTAAGGCACACCACGCAGTGAGTGGTGAGCGTGGTTACATGTGTTACGTGTTGCGTGTGCTGCTGGAGGGCGCCCGCTAGAGGGGGAGACGACGACGAGGGTGGTGAGGGTGAAAGGGGAGGGAGCCAGAGGGGGAAGAAGGAGGAGGAGGAGGCAGCAGAGAGAGAGAGGGGCGATGGCGAGGAGGAGGAGGAGGACTCCATCTTTAGCGCCGATGCTTGTCGTACACGTGCGTGTCCAGTGAACGTGGCGGCGGCGACACGCGCCTACCCCCCCCACCACCACCACCAGCCACAGACTCGATCAGCAAGCGGCAAGGCGGGTTTAGAAGAGACAACAGCGATGGGTTCGAAGCCTCTTTAAGTGTTGACCGTCGTTAATTAGAAGGGAGGGAGGGAGGGGGGGGGTGGGGGAGGTAGTAGCAGCGGCGGCATCGTGCTAATTGCGGCCAGCGTCTTGTGTGTATCGTGGGGGCGTTAGGCAGGGAAGCGTGCGGACCTTTTGGATCCAAGAAGGCCTCTAAAGTTTATCATTTTTCGCTGTGGGGGGGGGGGGGGGCAGCGGTGTTAGGTTCGTCGTTGTTGGCGCGGTTATTCTTTTTTTAGTAGTTTTTGTTGACGCGTTAGGTCATTGATGGGTTTGGTTGATGCGTTGGTAGAGTCGAGTGAGTGAAGGGCGATTCGTCAATTAGTGTTGGTGGTGGGGGGGGGGCAGCTTGAGGCGAAGCCTGAGAAAGTCGTCTTCTTAATGAGATGGAGCAGGTAAGCCGCAGCGATTTGGCGCTTTCGCGATGCCTCGTAACACACAATCGGCCCCTTTTGACGACTTCTATCAACTCGCAGAACGCAAGCTTCCTTCACACTTTTATAAACTAAAAAACGGGGGAAAAAAACGACCGCTTTCGTCGGCAACGATAACGGCTTTTTTTTACATTTGGAGGTTTATTTTTTAGTGTTTTTATTTAAACAAATGCCGAGAGGCGGTGGCGGCGCGTGCGGCCTAGCAGGCCTCGGAGCCTGTCCGCGTTGTGAGCTTCACCACCACCACCCCCACCTACCTACCTACCACGCCGCCTCCCCCTACCCCCCCCCATAGCTTAATTAATCGTAGCTAATTAACCAACATCGTCGTCTTCATCGTCACCGCCATCAACAGGAGGCCGGGAGCCGAGACAAAAGCACGGAGGAGCGCCCGGCCTCCCCTCCCGGCTCGCCGCAGGGCGACACGGCCACGGCCGCCACCACCGCCACCATACCCCCTCGTCATCTTCAACCCTCAACATCTCCACCATCTCGGCGACGGCTGCCAGCGACGACGACGACGAGGAGGCATCGAATAACAACAACGACAACAACAACAGCAACGCGTCAAGGTGAGTGCCGGAGACCCTCCGTCACCACCACCACCCTCACAGCCTCGAACGCAGCGCCACTCGGGGCAGACATCGGGTGCGGAAGCCCCCGGGCTCTCGGCAACTTTTAGTGGCGATTGTTTCTGTTTCTTCTCTCTCTTCATCGTGTCCACGGTGACCTTGGAGAAACAACGGGGAGGCATTGGGGCTGTAGCCGCCGCCACGCCCTTGGAAGCGAGAGGGCAGAGACGAGAGCGAGAGAGACGAGACGAGAGGGGCATGGGATGGTTTTTTTCGCTCTCCTCTCTGCGGTGGTGCCGATGGCCACGCTGCCACCCAACCCACGGGGTGAAATGTTCCCGTCGTGGTTTTGCCAAGTGGACGGTGCTCGGGCAGGAGGGGAGAGAGAGAATGGGGGGGACCCCCTTTTGTTACTGCAATGCACCATTTTGTAACAAAATGGACGACCCCCACCACCACCACCGCCGCCGCCACCACCGACCCAAAGGGACCGTCACCAGCCCGGGGTGGCCGGGGGTCACCCTCGGGCTCGGCCCGGGGTCACTCTCGGGCTCGGCCCGGTCGACGCCGCCGCTGTTGACGCCGTAGATGAAGCTCGTCCCGAGGCCCCTCGCTGCAGCCCCCCCTTGAATAGGGGGGGGGGGCCGAGGAGGTTTGTTTTGAAAATGGCAAAAGTTGGCTGAATTAATTTATTGTTTTTGTTGTCGTACGGGGTGGTTGGTGGGGGGCAGAGCACGAGTTTGGTCGGGAGTCGGTGGCTGCCTTTCGTTTTTGAGAACAATTCTGGGTGACGATTTTCCACCGCCATCCACTTTATTTTTAACAGCCCCCCCTCGCCTCTCTCACCTGGGTTTTTTGTTGCTTTTGAGGTGCGGTTGGGATTGGTTTTGCGTTGGTTGCTTTTAAGCGAATGTTGTGATGGGGGTGGCTGCTATTTTCAGGGGAGATGGGCGGTGGGGGGGTTACCCCTTTCTCGGTGCTTGCGTTTGAAGCCGAATTAGGTCCCTCGTTTGTTGGATTTTATTTTAGATGTAGTCATTTTGTTTCGACGTTTCTAGCCACAGGCCGGGTTCGGCTGCAGCACAACCGCGTAGGTGCTGTCACGGATGTGGAGCGACGTCTTTCCTCGTCACTTTTACTCCTTTAGACCGTGAAAGTCAACTTTTTTAAGCCACAGCCCCTGGGATTAAAGTTTGGATTGCAATTCTCATCCAACCACCGGTGACATTAGCCCGTGGTGACTGCGGCGTAACCTGCTCACCCTTTCCTCAATCGGGCACCGTGTCTTCGAAACGTCGGGCAAGCGTTATTGTTCCCGGAATGTGTTTCCACATCGTACGCCCGTTACCTGCCTCTCAACTTTGGAACTTTCCATATCGCTGTTTGGTCTCTGTGCCACAGGTGGGGGGGGTGGTAGCTGCTATGTGCGGGTGGTCGACCCTGAACAAGGTCCCCTTTTTTAGTTATAGATATCCTCGGCTCATGAAAGCGGGCAGGCGGGTGGGGGCCCACAACTTCGGTGGGGTCAGTGAAGGCCTTTCCATCGCTTCGCTGTCAATTATGGCCTCAAGATTGCCCCTTCCACCACCAGGGTGGAGTTGACGGAGGAGATTGGCTCAAAGGCTTTCTCGTGTTTAGGTCGCAGTTTGCGGTTTTGTAACTTAGAGTTTTGGTGTACAAGAACTTTAGCGTCTATAGTTTGAGGTTTTTGTGGGTTTTTTTTCACCCCAACACATTTACTTCCCAGGGACCGAACCAATGACACTGTAGGGCATGTTGAGGAAGCCACTCCAAAAGGACATTCAACTGAAAGTGTTCGGTTTATGTTTTTGGATCGAAGGGGATTACCGTGCAAACATTCCAGCCATACTATTACACACTTTAGACGTTTTGATACTCTTTTTTACAACGTTGTTGGATTTTTCCACGATGGATATGAAAGGCATGTATAGTACACAAGTGGATACTTTGTTTAATCTCAGATTTGCTGATCTACAGTAGTCGATTGGCGATCTTTACGAAGAAGACTTCAAGTTCAAGGTAAACATGGAATTCAACAAGGACTGGACATGTCAACGATTAATTATGTATTCCAGTGGAAAAACAATGTTGGACATTGACTTAAATCATGAATAGCAACAACACATTTACCTAAAATGGGAAGGACTTAATCGGTGCATATTAACGTGCTTTTGAGATGGATCGGATGGAGAATTTAAAGTGAGGCACCTATTAATTGGACAAACCAATTACTACGTGGTTGCTGTAAGGTTAGAAAAGTGGGGTTTAGGCAAGGGTACACGTCGTTACAAGAACAGATAATGATGGATGAGGCTCTGTTGGTGGAATGGCAGCTTGGGTAGGGGTCATGGCTGAAAGGACGGCCACGTGGATCGCGTTCGTTTGTGGCGGGGGTGGATTTTGGTGGCATCGCAGGATTGGGGGTGGAGGTCACGACTATGGAGGTCTTCATTCAGCAGGGATTGACAGTGGATGATGATGATGATGCAAAACATCCTTCCTAGGCTTAGTACAATAAAGCAGAAGTGGATGTGACCATACACACGTCTATGGCGATTTGACTCCACAAATAAGTGACGCATCATTTTGACGTTGATGTTGTTTGCTTCTTGAACCTTCTTGGGGGGGGGCGGGGTCTGAATGCGAGTGCTTACCGCAAGACGACGACGCCGCAACATTTATTTAGTTACCCATAATCCACCGGGATTGGTGTCACACACACATCCTGTTGCCTAACCAGGCTGGCAGAAACGGCTTGCGAGAAGTGTGGTGGTGGTGTGTGGTTTGCAGTGAATTCTATCACGATGTTCTCACACGATTCCATAGGTCGACATCCATTTGCCCCCTCCCTACTCGGGGTCCCAGTCGTTGTTATGCTACGCTGTACTTTATACTCTGGGTGTAAAGGCTTCTTCTTCACACGGCGGATAGGCTGTCACGGGGCCAGTACCAGCCCCTTTGTAGGTTCACCTCGCCCACGTTGGGCAGCAGAAGCCGTGAGTGAGGAGTGATGTTGCTGCTGCTGCTGCAAGGGGTTGCAGCAGCGGTGATGCGTAGGCAATGCGGTAGTGGGGGGGGGAATGCTGCGGGAGTCGTGGGCGGGCGGAGGCCGAGGTGGTGGTGGTGGGGGGGTGATGTGGTGGTGGGGGGATGTTGATGTTGGTGGTGGGGGGGTGTTGATGTTGGTGGTGGCAACCTTCGGGGCTGAGGTTGCGTCTCTCCCCCATGTATGTTTGTTATCCCCTTGGCCAGGGATGACATCTTGGGGGGGGGGGGGGGGGGCGGGGAAGCATCCACCTGCGTTATTTAACGTCTCGAAAAATGGGCGGCTTAAGATCGGAAGGCGTTCTGCCTCCCGTCGCCACAGCAAAAGAAGAAACAGCGGGCGACGTGGGAGGGAGAGGAGGGGAGGAGGAGGGTGTGGATGTGGGTGACAGCGGCGATGCGTCCGAGTTGATCAGCGGGGATATCGTGAATAGATGATTGTGACTCGCTTGCATTACCCCTTTCTGTTGCAAGGTGCGTTATTCCCACCCCAATATTTTTAACGGTGCTATCCACAAAGGCTCAGACGGGCTCGCAACAACTGAGAATCCGCCGTCCCGTGTGTGTGTGTGAGAGGAGTATGTGTGTATGTGTATTGGTGGTTGTTTCAGCAGCTACCCCCCACCCCCCCCCCGGTGTGGGTCTGTGAACGTGGCACTCGCCGACTTGCTACGCCGTAGAGTTACGCGATGCCAGGAAGTCGTCGCTGTTTGGGGCCACGACAGTGGTTGTGGTGGTGGGGGACAGATACAAAAACATGTGCCGAGTTTGGATGCTTTCATTGTCGGCGTTGTTCGTAATGCTCGCAACCGTTGCGTGCTTGGCACAAGTGAGAAAAAGGGTGATGATTTTTGTTGTTTTTTGCAAGCCGGTTGCTTGGGGACGACGCAGCTCTTAATCTCGCTCGAGTTTCTACATCCGGTGCGAGCTATTGGGTGTGCGGTGTGAGGGTGCCCGTGGATGGCTTGCTTACTACCCCCCAGCTGCCACAGACGGGTTCTCGCGCTTTGCCAGAGATGTTCCTCGGTCTGTCGCTCGCCCCGGCGTGCCCAGCAACCTTGCGCTGCTGGGGTTTCGTTCCCCCTCGTGATCTCCAGGGTACAGTGCGCACCGTGGCCGTGCTGTGTACAGTGCGCACGTGGGTCTTGCTGTGTGTACAGTGCGCTCGAGGTTTGTGCTGTGTACAGTGCGCCCGGGGCCTGTACTGTGTGTACAGTGCACGCGTGGGCCGTGCTGTGTGTACAGTGCACTCTGGGTTTGTGCTGTGTACAGTGCGCACGTGGGTCTTGCTGCGTACAGTGCACCCGGGTGCTGTGCTGTGTACAGTGCTCACAGGAGGGCCTGTACAGTGTGCAGTGCAAGCGTTCTGTGCAGTGTGCTGTACAGTGCAAGCTCTGTACAGTGCAAGGGCTCTGTACAGTACAAGGGTTTTGTGCAGTGAGCTGTACAGTGCAAGGGCTCTGTACAGTGTGCAGTGCAAGGGCTCTGTGTGCTGTACAGTGCACGAGTTTTGTACAGTGCAATGCCTCTGCAGTGTGCTGTACAGTGCACGGGCTCTGTACAGTGTGTACAGTGAAAGGGCTCTGTGCAGTGCACTGTACAGTGCACGGGCTCTGTACAGTGCAAGGCCTCTGCAGTGTGCTGTACAGTGCAAGGCCTGTGTGTGCTGTACAGTGCAATGCCTCTGCAGTGTGCTGTACAGTGCACGGGCTCTGTACAGTGCAAGGCCTCTGTGCAGTGTGCTGTACAGTGCAAGGCCTCTGTGCAGTGTGCTGTACAGTGCAAGGCCTCTGTGCAGTGCGCTGTACAGTGCAAGGCCCTGTGCAGTGCGCTGTACAGTGCAAGGCCTCTGTACAGTGC